GATCTTGTATAGCTAGAAAAAAGAAGTGTGACCATTTTTTCTAAACAAGACAGAAACAACGGATAATAGTATATTATCAAACAAACAAAAAGCAAAGACAGTTACAAAAAGAGTTTGTTAACTAATTAGATGTTTCTTAACCACATTAGTTTGGTAAATCACACATCACATGTATACTTCCATTCCTAGAAACTTGGAAGATTGACACAAAGGACAGAAGCTAAGCTTGCTTTCACACTCCTTACACAGACACATATGCTTACATGGCAACAACAACATACACACTTTATTCACTCCACAAGACCTGCACATCATCATCGTCTTACTGTTATGGTGGTTGTTGTTGTTTCGGCCATTGAAGCAAGATGCTGTGTCATCCACTTCGCTGTCTCCACATCCTTCAATGCTTTCTCTCGGTCGAGGAGCGTGAGCTCGTTCCAGATTGTAGTTGAGTGCAGCGATCATGTTCTCGTTGTACTTTGCGCGTTGTTGCCATGCCTCAGCTTCCATTGTCAGCTGTTCCATTCGTACCTCGAGCTCCCTGTTCTTTCGGTTTATGATCTCTAGCTCCTCATCTTTCTCACGGAGTTTCTGGAGAACTTTTTCCTCCATGAGTGAAACCGTTTTATGTTGACTCCTCTGGATCTTGTCGAGGATCGCATGCCGTAATTGGTCACCCTGTCGATGATTATAGAGAATCACCAAGTTTGAAAAAAATAGTAGTGAGAGAACACGGAGAAATGAAAACCAAATCATAACTTTCCTCATATGCTTCTTAATCAAACATGATCCTTCATACAAAGTAGCTTGAATCATAATTCGAACGACGTAAGATTCAAAGCCAAAAAAATTTAAACAAATACAGTAAGACACAGGAATATGTCAACAAGCAAGCAAAACATCTTCATGGATCGAAAAGTATAAACTTTAAGGACAGGCGCAGATATATCCAACAACAAACTGTCATCACAATATCAACCAATGTCTCAGGAGGTTATTCACCTTAACCTAATCCAAATATAGAAATTTTCCATTACCTGAATCTTGAGAAACCTATCGATTTCCGCGTCCTGTCTCTGTAACTCCCGCTCAACATCGTCTCCAACAAGAGACAACAAAGCAGAACAATCAGAGGAAGCAATACGAGCATTGTCAAGAGAGAGACCCAATCCGGTTGATACAGACCGAGCTTGCCAAAAATCAATCGAAGATATCTGAGAATTGTTGTCCAAAAAATCCTGTTCCTTTATTCTCTTCCTTCTTGGTTCAAGACCGTAATTATTCCACTCAAGGTCACCACCATCACTACCATCAATTTGCACAACCGTTGGTCCCGGTGCAAAACCAGCAACATGAACTAACAATTCAAACAGAAGAAAGAAAACTTTAGATTTACCAATCAAAAAAACCCTAAATTGAATCATGGAGAAGGGAAATTCAAGAGAAATTACAAGGAGGAATATACGGAGGATGCTGAGACTGATCATGAAGATTATTAGCGGAGAGATCAAACCCTAATTCAGGAGAAATCTGGGCGTCGATTCCGCAAAAGTCCCTATAATGATGATGGAGACAAAATGTTAGGAAAAGTTCACGAAATTAGGGTTTTTATTGATGGTAAATTTAACAGAATTTAGGGACCAAAGAAGAGAAGAGATTGTGTAACCTGAAATTCTTGGAGCCGTGAAGGTGATGATCTAAATGGTGAGGAAGAGCCATGGATGTAAATTTGGGGAAAGAGAAGGAAACGGAGAAGGAGACGGAATTGTTGGCTTCTGATTTTGGAAACA